AGAATCGGCACTATATGAGGTTAGATACCGGAGCAGCAGCGACATGCGACTGCTCCGCTCTGCAGTCAGGCCCCAACCGAGCTGTATATGTTAACCATACATTTGTCACACTTTGTTGTGAACCTACACCAGAATTCCTCTTTGCTTTCTCTTTTCCTATATATACCATTCAAGTGGACAGAAGAGGGGGATTTTGTCACCAAAGGTATATGATTTGAGCCTGTCTTGGGAGGCTCATTTCCATGTGAGTTAAACCATTGTATACTATTTAGATATGGCGGACGCTACGCACAAAACAAAGCCTGATCCCACGCGACCACAACTCACAAAACTGAACTTGATATTTCAGCATTTCTGGGACAAACTGGAAGGACTCCTCGCAAGCCCCCCCTCGGCTAACGAGGGTACAACACAGAGGATGGGGAGGCAGAGACAGAATAGGCCTGACTCGGGTAATGCATGCCCTCCTCTCCCAGCAAAGAGCATGTACTGCACCCAAGCAAGTGAGCAACCACCACACCCGGACTGATACGCAGGGAGACTCTCACCGCTCCTGCTGAGTAGCCCACAACCCACACAAGCGGACACTTTCGACGAACTCTAGATGCTAGCTGGGAGTAAATATGTTGGCTTAGCTCCCAACAATACGCAGCATATGTGTCCCAAGGTAGTAATAGGCCAGTTCACTTAAGCTAACTAATTATGACTGAATGCTCCTGCTTTTACTATGTGTTCATTCAACTCACTCATTCTTAACATGCCATTAACAGTAGTGACACCCCAGGCTCCACTTTACTGGCTATACAACTCGACTCAGATTTAACCATTGCCTCTACATCTGTTTAAGGTCCTGAAACTACAGTTTAGCGAGTAAACCTTACTATTTAATCTTACTGTCAGTTAGCAAGGCACATTTTACCTAGAATTGCATATAGGTCAGAGAGGAAATGGTTATTCCAACTAAGCGTGCCACGCCAATGTTTTTAATGTTTTAGTTTTGCGTTTGGTAAAATAAAGCTAGACCCTCTCGCAAGATAGCTGGTTTCTGCTTATTTACTGTAGACGTACTTGACGACCATGTATTTACTTACAGTCACAAAAAATGTGCAAGAAATTTGTATACCATGACACTGTTATTTCATGTATGTTATAATTTGGGTTTGTACCGCTGTTGTGGCGCAACAAACTTGTTTTATTCATGATTTGCACCATAAAAATAAAGATTGACAAAAAAAAAACATATACAGCTCACCTTTCTTAGAGCCCTCTGAACCTCTGGCTCTAGGTGGTAATGCTCTGTGCCTATAAGTGGGCCCAATCCTTCTTTGCAAGCAGGAGTAGCTTACTGGACAAAAAAATATATTTATTCCATAAAACATTAAAATTAAGTTTAACAACAACAATAATAGCTAAGTGCAGTTTACAAAGGTAAGTCTGTCCCTGCTCCTCCTCCGAGACACGTTTTTCCCTCTCCTAGGGCTTTGTCAATCGGCTTATTTTGCTTGCACTGTTCTTTCCCTTCAAATAGGACCTTTCCTGTTCCTATTGATCATTGAGTCCGTGTTTGTCCAATTAGACGCGGAGGTTCCGGGAGTGAGTTCCAGATTCGTCCTCCGTCTAATATGGAAGTGGCACGGTGATTACACTAATATTAATACTGACCTTTTTTTACTGCAAAATAATATTAGTCTTTTGTGTTATTTTACTTAAAGATGGTCCTACTCTCTTCGTGCAACCTTCCTCTTTTTTGTATTGTTTCATTTGTCTGTAGGGCTAAGAGAAAGCCCTATCTTTTCGAGGTGTGCTACCTACCCATTTAATACTTTCTTTTTTGGCATGGTTAAATAGCGCTGACCTTTCCGTCTGTATTTAATAGTTAATATTGCAGAAGTGGCAAAAAAGTTCCAACAAGGCAATGGGAAATGTAAAACAGTGGCAAAGTTTCAATCCCTTATATAACATGTTCCAGTACTGAAGGGGTTACACAGTAATCTCCCTAGCACTGGTGAAGGGGTTCAACATCCAGTATGTTGATATCTAGGGAAAAACAGCTTTAAATTGCGTAATATAGTTATTTGAAAGACCTCCACCACTCCGGGATCTAGGAAAGTACACAAGTAACTTTCTTTGGTTAAAATCACATGCTTGTATGTACCGGAGGTAATCTGTAGTAGTGAGAAGGCGAGTGTCAGTTAGGCGAGTTTTTTTTATACTTTCCTAAATAAACCTATGTTTCTATTAAAACTGAAGTTTTTGTTTTTTTGCGGCCCACATAAACGTAAACCTTGTTTATTTGGCCGGTGTTAGCCTTTGAGTTTGACATGCATGCTTTAAAACATACTGTGCAAAGGGCACATGTATGCAAGGTTAAAATGTTAAGATGCGATCATATTACTTGTTTATTAAAGGTACACAGTAAGTACAATAACCGTTTCATCTCATTGCATTTGTTATGGTGCCTGAAGTCCTCTGACACCATCCCTATGTTCAATGTTCAACCATTATTTTTTAGCAGTTTAACACAAAATAACGGTCCTTGGCCAACCACAGTCAAACCCCTACTGGAGGTATGGCTAAGACAGATGACACACTTCCTTCTAGCCATAGCAATTCATACCAACAATGTTCATTGTGACAGGTAAAGGTCAGCTGACATTCTCAGCCAATCACAGCCTCTCATTGTTGGTAAAACTAATGCTTCCTCATTCCTAGCATCACAGAGGGGATGACCTGCCTGGGACTCATGTATACCATTAATACATTAAAAACAGTTTAATACTGAATGGAAAGAAAGTAGCAGGGGACTCCAGACACTATAACAACTTCAATGAGATTAAGCACTTCCTGTACCTACGGTGTCCCTTTAAGAGGGTATTAACAAAATAATTACCCCCTCCCATTCAGTGTAAACCCATGATGCCAGACTTCTGAGTATTTACTGGTTTCAACACTCATTTTCCCCATTTCTTTCTTTTTCCCCTCCACCTCCTCTCTGATTGGCCCTTCTTAGAACACTGGCTCATTGTTGTTATTTGTAGCATATCAGCATGTCAATGGTGTGATGTCTGTTACTCCATTCCTACATTTTGTTGGTAAAGCATGCTTGTTGTCTCACATTCAACAAGGAATATTCTACAGCAACTACAGAGCATGTGGTGTTGGTGCTGTTGATAGTGAATAAACCACCTAGACTGCAGGTTCTCCTGTTATGGCCTGTTAATCAGTTTATGGCATGCACACTAATGCCTTTGTTATTGGCACTCACTGAGACGTGAGAGGCTATTTCATTTTCTATAAAATCTATATATTTGCAGGAATTTCTGCTAGCATAATGCATATATGAAATGTAATACGTTTTAACTTAACACCAAATCATGTAAGGCATGGATGGTGCATTTAAACGATAGCAACAAGCATTTGCAACTAGAGATAAAGCCAAGAGAGTTGATAACGTGTCACTCTCTCAGGAAGCCATTTATTGGTTTCACGATTATTAACTAGAAAGGGGGCAAATGTTTCAAAAATGTGCACCTCTCTAGAGACATTTCTGCATGCACTCACTGAAGCATGAACTATAAGTGATTAAAGTAGTAGATATTATTGGACAAAACCATATGAATCATTTAAAAAAAAATTAAATTTTACACTGTTGGTCTCAACATAGTGGAGTCTCAACATTACGTATGTTATTTGTTACATCAAACAAGTGACATGTAGGTGTAATAAAAATCCCACAATCCTTGTGTGCACTGCCATTAATATTTAGCTCCAGCGTTGTATCCATGCAAATGGCCCATAGTGACTAAGATTCTCCTTCCTCCCAGATCATTAAACTTTGAATACATTTCTAGAGAATTAAAGCCATATTCTGCTAATATATTAGTGATAAGCTACAAATATTTGCTTTGTGAATAGTACATCTGTATTTTCTGTACATATTGCCAAGATCATGCAATGTCTACATATGAATGTCAGTTTCACTAACATACTAAAAATGAAATATTTGCTCAAAATAGCCAAGGCCACATTATCCTGCAGGTAGCTGCCACAACATATACTGTATGCAATTTATTGCCATTGTCTGCTTATTAGAGAATTACATGCTGCAATTAAATCAGTGAAGGGCCAAGTTTACATATATATTATTCTTGGGTAAATCCTACCACATGGTAAAACTGCCCAAATGACCACTATTTCCAGTTACGCTGATGACCTCATCTAGGTTTAGACATGTGATGTGTTTCTCCCATTCCAGTAACCCCTTGCATCACAGCCTCTTATTAAGCTATTAAGAGAATAAACTGATTTCATACAATATATTCTCCTATATGTGGGGACTCTTTAATTTTATAGCAGTCAATGTATCTTACTAGGGATATAGACAGTAGATGGTTAATAGGGATTGGAGAATATTTCACACTGACTTTGCAGGGTCCTACATCTGCACTAACACACATCAAAATATTCATCATCATCTATCCCGTAATATGGGGTATTTAACCCCTCAAGGACCAAACTTCTGTCACACATATCATGTGTCCTTAAGGGGTTAAAGAGGTTTGGATGCAAACACTCACAATTATAGTATGAGGAGATAAGCATATATACATGCATTCACACACAATCATAAATTATTGCATTCGAACCCATGTGATAATATATTCACACATGCTAAAAATGTTGGGATTGATGAGTAAACTGCATGCTTTTAACTATAGATTGCATACACAGTGAAGAGAGGCTGAATACTCCACAAAAAGGATATTTAATTAAAGACATCAAAATACTAGAACAAGTAGCATGTAGACAGGACTACAGATAGATTTACAGGACTGTTGGTAAGTATGCGGCGGCCTAAAAGACACAATGTAGCCCAATTTCTCTCTGAAGCTTCTAGGTCCAAATCTATCTCCTTCCCACATTCAGTTGGGAATCCCAAATGTTTACTTAAAAATCTAAATATATTTTCTACTACATATACAAAACACAAAAAGACAGTATTTCCACAAAAAAGTTATTTTATTTTTTTAGCATTATTCACCTTCATGGAATAAGAGGATAGCATACACTTTTTACAGACAATATATAAACATGGTGTACAGGATTGACAATAACTTAAGGACACAAATCAAAATAAACAAGTCGGAAAAAAATACTGTAGAATTCTATGCAGATACTGATACAAAATAATTTAATTTTGGACTGCAGAGGTTAACCCCACAGGCTGGCAAGATATTGCACTTTAATTTCTCTTGTATCAGTAACCTGTCCCATAGCCCACCCCTATAGAAAAAAAAGGTACAAAACCAATTTACAACTTGTACCATGAAAGTTTAACCCCAATGCATCCAGAGCACAAGCTCATTAAATTGCAAGCTTCTCTGGTTTCAAAGTGGTTAAACGTAATTTGGACCACTTCCCCCACACCTGGCACAATTCATCTTTCCATCACAAATAAAAAATTCCAAGTTTCACATATCTTAAAAAAAATAAAATAAAATTAAAAAAAAAAGAATATTAACCCATGATGACATGGACAATCCTGCCATGCAGCCTTTTTTTTTAAGGGTTAATTAAAACTGTCTGGCTCTTCCTGGTGTTTTTTTTTATATATATATATTTATATACTTTTTATTATCAAATAACTGCATTATATATATATGTCAGAACAGAAATGTACATTACAGGTGTGTTTTTATTTTTCTAGCACTTTATTTGCCACAAAATACACGTAAAATTGGTTAATCCGTAATATTCTCTCACCCAGAAATTATTTTTCTTCTTCGTTAAAAGTAATTATATACATTATGATATATTGAACTTGTTCATAAAAGATGCTTTGGGACAAAATGATAGATTACATTTCACACTGGAAAGAACATTCTGTGTCTGCCTATGTTTTCTTTGTTTGTTTTTGCATGTTTGTTTTTGCATGTTTGTTTTTAATAAATGGTTGATGGATATCTATGCAATGGCTTTCAACTATTCCTCTTCCACATTCCATTACGATACCAGTTTGTTCTGCTTCCACTAAATTTGTTTTTACCAACTTGTATACAAGTTAATTTAGGTCTGTCACGGTTCAGTTATTTCTTATGTATTATTTTATTATTTATATAGCGCCATCAGATTCTGTAGTGCTGTACAATGGGCTGTGGATGGCCAAGAAGAGACTTTATTCAAAATGAACTTCTTGCTGGCACATGATGGACTTGAAGATGTTCATTTAAAGAAGACATGTCTGCTGTGCCCCAAAAACTAAACTGAAGTTACAGTAGGTGCACTTGAATCCCGGACAAAATTGGACAGAAATGTAAGATCTTTGATGGTTAGACACTTCTAGGCATCCACCTTTGATTTTACCTGGTTATTATCGTATATTTATATAGTGCCAACAAATTCTGCATGACTGTTTAAATTAAATGTACAAAAAACTCTACCTGATGGATGACCAAACTACTAAAGTAGACATCAAGAGTCCAACCTTTAGACTAGAGAGATTTGTGCGAATTTGCAGGAAACAATACTTGAATATGCATGTTTATCAACCTCTTCCTTAATATTAAATAGTAATTTAAGAGTAGAAAAAGGAAATTACTAAAATTTTGTTAGTAGCCTTGAAGACCACTCAAAACCTGTAGGCATGCCCTTCTGTCCACTCAAATTCCTATGTAACTTTTAATTAAACAAAAGAGCTAATATCGTATTTATGTGATTACTCTACAGTAAAATACTACTGCAATAAAAATATAAAATGTCCCCCTTTTGTAATTTCATGCAATCATATTCCATATAATTTAAATATTGCATGTTGTGTCGGTACTCAGTGTCCTTTTGCACTGTGGTTTTATATTACAGGATTTTTGCTTAAAAGTAGCCTCCAAAGATATGGAGCAGGATATATTTATTCATAATTCTCATGAACATGCAGATTAAAATGATAAGATTACACATTCTGCAAATGTTCTGGAGCTGTTACCCTTGTAAAAAAAATGCTTTTTAAAAAGAGAGAATTGTTTTATGTATTTTTTATTCTTCAAATTTTTCTTAAAAGGGGAACATTCATCACGTTCTTTTGTTAAACATAAATGAATATAACTGAACACATAAATACTAGATAGCATGTCTTAAGCCAAATATAAGGTGCATTGCAAATAAAGAAAAAAATAATTTCTAACATGAGTCCCTGCGTGCAAACTGCTAAGCTTCTAAACGCCAACGCATTCAGCCTAGAAGCGCTACAGCAGAAAAGAATTGTTTAGCCGCTGCGTCAATGTCATGTTTGAAGTTTCAATTGCTTTAATTTTGCATTAATATTGAGTTACGCTAAGTAACTTAAAATATTTAATTTTGTGCCACATTCTTCCAATTCAGTTTGGATACAGATCAAATAAATCTGGACACTTCTGATGCCATACAGGACTAATTCTGATGTTAAAATGTTAAATGTCTATGGTGGATTTTTGGAGTTAGCAGAGAACAGCAGAGTAATGTGAAACCAGGAATTAAAAGATTGCCATGCAAAACATTATGTGACTCTAATCAAATTTTTCACAAGTAAATATTAAACAGACATGTATAACCATACAAATGACAACTACAAAAAAAAAATGCAGACATATAAAACAAAAAAAATCAATGGGCGCTCTTCTTTAACCCAAAAGAGTCAACCTCTGATTTAAGGGAACAAACCTACAGCAAAACAAATACTCGGCCTAAAACGTGAGTATCTCCCATATTTTTTTCAAAAACATTCCATGCAATTATATACCGTATACATATTAAAAAGTGCATGTTTCATTTTCAGTAGGGGAACACAATATTCTGAGCCACTTCCTGTTGTAACTTAGCAAACGTCTGTGCTAAGAACGTGAAGAAGCGCAGTTGAAAACTGTACCCCCCTGATTTTTGTGAACCTCAGCATATGCAGATTAAAATAAATCATGCACTTTGCCAAGTGTCGGAACATTTTTGAAATATATAGAAATGCTTTTCAAATAAGAAGAACTTATTTTTTTCACTACAAAAGAATAGAGGGGAAAAAATCGGTTTAACGATTTTTTTCCCCTCATTTCTTGTTCATTTTGAGAAAAATCTGGCGTGTGCGTATAATGTCAGGGAACATGGCCAAATAACCGTTATAAAAACAAAACAGCCGAAACCTAGGCCCAGGTGCAGTCACTTAAAAAAGAACCGCATTAAATAATTTTCAATGTTTGCTTTCATGGTTGATTATTCCAAAAAACTCTTCACCATTAGCCCTGCAGCAGCAGAGGGGTTAAACACAGGTCAGTGATATGGTGGTCTTGTCCAAGAAGGTGGAAATTCTGAAGCCAAAAAAAATGTACAATAGATGAAACTGTGGCAAGGCTGGAGATGGACTGAAAATAAAATCTGGAGCGAAAAATAAATAGTTTTTTTTTTTTCCTTTTAAAATTAAACCTTCAATTTTGTTTTGTTTTTTGTTTTTTTATACAAAGTTGCCCTTCTGGAACAAGTCTGCATTACAAATCCAGCATTGTCTACCTCTGGTCCTTTTCAACTCACAAGAGAATATAATTTACAATATTCACAGTAATAATTAAAAAAAAAAAAGTAAAAAAAAAAAAAAATCTCTTGCATCCACTTTTTTCCTTCACCACATTTCAGTCAGCAAGTGGCAATTAAATTATTCCTTTTTTGAGTCCAGGGGGAGCAAAGTGCTTATCTTGTCCCACCAAGAAAAATGTCATGTTTAATTCCAATGCTAAGGTGTAGCGGAATCAAGGTGCAAAGGAGTCGCCTATGGTCTCAAAGAATTCTGGGTACCAACCCAAGCAACACCATCTTGCTCTAGCAGTGTCTCTTTAGCAGTTTTTCTTTTTTTAACCCATTGCCGTCACCATGCTGGATGGATGTGGGTGCCCAAACGAGAGGCTGGAAGAAGGGTGAATGGGTGTTGGTGTCTGCAATATATGACCCGAATGGCTAAAATGACTTAAATGACCCATAGGCGCCATGTGACTTGCCAGTGCAGCAGCACTGAAAGGAGACGATTTCTCCTGCATACACTTGGAAAGTTCCTCAAAACACTCCGAGCCTTTTTTGTTTTTCTTGGACTTGTTTGACATTTTCCTATTTCTGGTCTGAATTCCTTCCTTTTTCATGGTGAGAGGCCTGTTCACCTGTAACAAAATACAAGAACATCATCCCCCATGCTAATTTAAACCATGTACATTGACACGCTATCAGCTTGGCCTCACAGAGAAGGCGTGCCAGGTCACAACTATATGTGGCCGACATAAGAGACATTAGATATATTTAATAATAATAATAATACTATTCAAAATGGTTGTTTTTTTATTTTAACTTTTGCATAATCACCCGTAATGGAACAATGATTTCTTATATGGCCAACAATTTCCCAATGCAAAAAGGGTGCTTAACAAAACAGAACCATATTTGAGACCTACCAAAAACAAAATACAAAAAAAAAAAAAAGTAAATCTGATTGAGTTTAACCTATTCAATGCCTAGGAAAAGGTGTTGTGCCACATTATACAGCAATGTAAGGGATAGCTGTGCAGTGGTGTAGTGGTCTAGTCTTTGCACTCAACAAGGACATGCAAGGTCATTTCACAAAGCATTTGAAGCCAAGCTGTTGTATGGGAAACGCATTGAATGCAGCATCGCTATGCTAGAGCAATGAATGCTTGATGGGATCCCTATGGGAAAAGCCATCACAAATGAATACAAGTGGGCATCTTGCAAGCCACACCAATAGTACAGAGATGGACAAAAAAAAAGCTAAGCAGCTGTTTCAGTTTGACTGCAATTCTCATTATCCCTCTTTCCAATTATAGTCCATCTTGCAACTACCCTTCCATGCAGTGTACCCCCACAAGACAGAGCAAGAGTGACTTACGTTGTGCAGTTTATAGTAGAGTCCGCATGCATTGCACACTGGGTCCCCGTTTGCATTGCGCCTCCATAATGTTGTAGTTGTGGTCTGACAATTTGCACAACAAGTTCCTGCCCTGCGAGCCGCTGACTGAGGAAATAAAAAAAAATATGGGTGGATATTAGTGGTCAGCCCCATGAGCAAATAAATAAAAAATCATAAACAAACTTAGGGCAATAAATATGAATTTTAACCCCTTAAGGACACATGACAGAAGTTTGGTCCTTAAGGGGTTAAATTCATCTAGCATTTGCGTGGTCAGACAGAAACTTTCATTTTATTTATTTATTTGTTATTCTACTAAAGTGGATAAAGTATAGAAGGTATAAAGTATTAAATAAGGTTGAATTTCATTTATCCAAATGTTTATTTGAGAGCAATGATCAACTTGAAGTTGAGGATTATATGATATTAATATTATTGACACCAATCATCTTTTTTAAAAAAGCATACTTGTCACTCAGCGTAAAATGCAGAGCAAGCTATGACTACTAGAATTCAAATACAGTTCTTGATGTATTTAATATGCGCTTTTTATATATAATGATATAAAACAAAGTGTTGTAATAAACTGGATTGGATTTAGTGGGCTAATATAAAAAATAATTACAAGATGATGCAACATTTATGTATTTACATATACATACCCATATATATCCACACACAACATGTATTTCCGAATATGTAATGTTTTGGTAATTCAAATGAGAATTATCAAGTTTTATGCCAAAATAGCAGAATTCTCCAGTTTTCATTTTAGCTGTTTTGACCTAAAAATTTAATTCACATTTTTCTCAAGAACTCTATTTATGGTTTACTCACTAAACAGTGGATTTTTGGTAAATAAAAAAAAAAAAATTATTTATTTTCTAAAATCAGGTTTCAGAGCACTTAAATTCACTGTTTAGTGACTAAATAAATATAGTTAATTAAGTTTGCATCTGTTTTGTTTTCAATATGTCCTCAATATGATCTCTATAAATATGTCAAATCTTTGAATGTATTATTTAAAATTGCTCCAACTCTAAGTGTTAAAGTCCTGTTACATACCCTTTATTTAGGCTCTAAAAAATAAAATAAAAAAAACCCAGACCATTTTGAATTTAAGTGTTCGAGTTTTGAACGTTAATTAAGCATAACAAAAACATTCTTGAATTTGTCTGAAGGGAACATACAATGACTCACAGGAATCCCCTGCCAATAACTAAACTCCATTTCTCTAATAACAAGGTGGGAACTTGTATATCCATGTGATGCAAAGGGTTAATAAACCAGTATTTTTTTTCTCTCCCCTTTCTCTTCAGACTTTCCAAGAAAACACAGCCTGTTTAAAAAAATATATTTATTTTTCTTACCCTTCTAGAGAATTATTTGCACTGCATTTGGACATTTCAAAACAGTCCAGAGAGCTGCATGCCTCGCCTAGGGTAAACTCTGGAGTTTTTAATGTACGGAAACAGAGATACAAAGTTTCCTTATCAGCACAATACAGATATCCGGATAGGAAGCGGGGACCATGAGCTCAGATGGGGCCATTTACAACAAAGAGAGAGAAAAAAAGGCCCTAAATACAAATTCTAGGTGACTCCATGGAAAATTAATAGCTTATAAAAAATGCTAAAGATTGTCTGAGTGGGAAAGGGGAAAATGATTGCAGCAAGCAGACTACACAAGGAGAATGTCTCAATGCCCTGTTCAGAAAGGCACACACACACACAGGGCAGGGTGTTCCCCTGATTTATGAGGCTGATAAGGAGGTGCAGGGCTGACCAGGCACATAGATCTGGGTGAGACAGTCTGTACTCTGTGTATTGTTCTGAGCTGCCCTCTTAAAAGCCACATTAAAAAATAAATTAAGTAAAAAAATATTCGGGATTCTCAAACTTTTATACCCATTTCTGTTTTCATTTAATTGTGTGTGCTTAATTACACGTGGATTATTCTATGCCATTATCCATGCATTATTTAGTCTGTTTATACTAGGGTATTATTTTTGGGGGGTGGGGAGGTACTCATCCAAGACATATATTAATTTCTTTTTTAAAGTTTTTAAAATATTTTTTTTGTGTAAATGCAATAATGAGCGTTGAATATGTAAAGTTTATTTTTTCCTTGTTTTTTTTGGGGGTGCGGTGGATTCAGGGGAGGGTGTAGTTCAGTAGTTTATTTTTCTCTTCTTTGCTCCAAGGCAGTAAACAGATTTGAACATTTTGGAAAGGAATTACCCTGTGGGGCTATCTGCCCCTTCCATGGCACCAGGTTTTGGTCCAGCAAGGAGACTTTCCTGTCCAGGTTGCAGACTAGGTAAACGTAAAGCAAGATTATCTCTCTAACTGGCAGTGAACAGGTTAATCCCTTATTTTTTTAAATACCATATGGTGAGAAAAAAAATCTTATATCTGAGCCGTTGCAAAAATAAACTCACAATAAAAAGACGATTAAGAATTATTTTATGTGTAAAAAGGCTAAGAAAACTAAATTTAAAGAAATTATTTTTAATAACTTGAAAGTTGCTATTGTAGATATCAGAGGGATTTTACATAGTTCCAAACTCCTAATTACAGCATTGCTTAAATCTTACACAGATACATCAGTTTAATAATTATTACATGGAAGGTACAACAGTAACACATATGTTAAATCCCCAAACAGCCCAATTGCCATGGATGCTATAGACACCTACCAGTCGCCGTTTGGGTTTAATTAGTGGTCTGTTCTGACCATTCATTTTGTGATAGAGTCCACAGGCGTTACACAGATAGTGACCTGTTCCATCTCTTCTCCATAAGGGGGTCGCAGTAGCTCCACAGTTAACACATTCTCTCCCTTCTAAATGGAAACACGAAGAAACCGGATTTCTTTCTTTAAAAACAAATTCACAATATTTTTGCAACGTCCTTCAGACACAACACAACAGATATGATGGCATTCCCAGCCCCCCACCACCACCACCCAAACACCCTCAGTCCATTACACAGTAAACTAACTGTACACAATGCATAGCAGAGAGTCTCTCAAACATATATAGTGGGAATAAGAAAATAAAGAATATAAAAATTACAAAAAAAACAAGCAAACATTCATTAGTTTTACGCATGACAAAAACAATGACTGTAAAAAGATCTGTTTTGAAATGCTTACTTATTTTGTTTTGTTTTTTAAACTTGTTTTTCTTTGCATTTTGTGTTTAAAATAGCCTAATACTGCGATTTTCATTCCTCTGGGTTTAGATAATAAGGAATTCAGAAGAAATATTTATTCTCTTGTAAGAAGGGATCTGAAAGCTAACACTCATGTGTTTCTGTAAGGGTTAAATAGAGCTCTTTTTCACAGGGTAAAAGTCCATTTGCGTTGTGATCAGGTAACTGAGAAGGGACACTGTGGGGTGTGTGATAAGGAACAACTTTGTTTAAAAAGGACAACTTTCTTAAAAAATGGATTTAGTGAAGCCCCATTTAAAATAATCCTACATTTAAGTTAAATCAAGTACTGTTAATCCCATATTTCACTGGGGGGTAAGAAGGCAGGCTAAACCAGGGTTGTTTTTATGGGTATTTATATTGTTTTGGGTGTGTGTCTTTGTACAGTGGAATTTGGTCACAATATCTCCTAATTATACTCTAATTCTAATAGAGCATAGCTGTATATTTGAAGAACATATTTAATAAATTAGATTTAAACATCTGTACCAATCAGGAGTTTTAATTTAAGGGCAGAAATTTGTATTAAATAACACAATATTTTTAAAACTGAATTTGACTGCAGTTAGTGCCAAGGGTCTATTTGCTAAATAGTTTAGCTAAAAGTTTTTTTTTAGAAAAAACGAAAACCTTGAGTTATTTTTTCTTTTTAAATATTATTTTGCTTCCCATCCACCCCCCCCCCCTTATCAAATATCTTCCAGTACTTTTTAAATAAACCCCCAGTAAATAAAATTGGGATTCATTCTAATTTCCAACTTTTTTTATAATTTTTTAATATTATGACTATTTAGTTTAAAACGCAATATATTATAGTGTGTGGACACAACCACACACACAGTTAGGAAAGATATTCACTTTAAATGTACTTAGATATTATATATGAACCAGACTCGTGTCCTATCATATCGATAGATAGACAGACATGTTTGTACTTTGCATCTTAATTCTTTAAAAGTGATCCCCTGTAGACTCCCCCACATACAATATAGGAATTGTAAAGTACATGCTAACATAACATCCACTTTTGAAATCTGGGCTTCCTGCCCAAAAGGTACAATATATTAGTTCAGTGTCATATTTAATCTATTACCTTGCCCCTGCAGCTACACTAACCCACCCAGCCAGGTACTGCATTTTAGGATGTGATGTCATGCTCTGTAATATATCCCATTTAGCCTGCAGTGTTTCAAAGCCCACCTACTAATATACCTGCATATTGCTCAAATCTCCCCGAGTCGGTCTCCTGCTGTAATAAATGAACAACTTTAATGCCTACTAAAGTGTTTTGTTTTTCTGTTCCCAATGTCTAAGTTTAGGGCATCTGATTAGAAAAGACCTATAGTTGACAAAAATGACCCTTATATAAAAAAAATATATATATAAAGCTTCAATCTATAGGATTATCTATCTGTAGGCAATCAGAGAGAATTATTTACATATGCAATGTATATGACAGCTTTGCATTGAACCTGTACTTCTGTTATAAGCCTCCCCCCCCCCTATTTAATGAGCTTGATAGGATCATTCTAGATAATATGGAATAATTTTAACTGACCTACAGGTCATCAGATGTCATGTGACATAAACATACCAATATAATCATAATGATTGATAGATCAGGTCTATAATATAGAAGCTCGGAGAGAAAGGAAAATGTGAAAATTTAGTTTTTACATTTAATTATAAAATTAATGTAGAAATATGTTTCCGAAGATATTGGTGTTCATTTTTTAGAAATTAGAATTTAGTAATTTTGGTGGGATGTACTGATATCTCTCAATCATTGCTTTAAACTATTGACCCCTTGCATGCGGTTACTTTATAATCTATACACACATTTTATGGACACAACAAATGAATTATCAGGTCCAACGTTGGTTTGATATGTGACCATATAAATGGCTGGTGACTATGATCATGGGATTGTTTACTGAATTATAAATTAAGGAGAAATGGAGGACCTTGCAAAAATAGCTAAACTGGGAAAATTATTAAACTTTTTTTTCCAAATGAACTTGTGTGGCTTAAACTTTATAATTCACAAACAAAAATCATCTAAAGAAGGTGTCTCTCCTTTGGCACTACATATGGTGAGATCCACAGCTGCAGGACAAATGACCATCATGGTCTAACAGGGCTACTGGGCAATTCATTGGTGCAGATGTAGAGCACTTGTGATCTCTAAGAACCTAGAAGTGAATGTACAGGTAATGGCAGGTGTATTTAAATGAGGATGGGCATGAGACATGTATTAGGCAATGGGGGTTCTCACCTGAGCAGGACCTGCTTTTGCTCCTCTGTTTTGGGGTGAAGCTTGAGGCTGGTCCTCCAAGGAGGCTACCAGGGTGAAAGAGGCCGCTGCTGTAGTCATGGGCAGAGGGCACATAGGAGGGGTACGTTGGGATGGGGTGATGGGTGGAGGTTTGGCCCCCCATGTGTCCCAGGCTGCTCCTCAGGGGACTGCCCCCCTCCATTTTCATGCCCTCTGACAGGGCCACCTGGTACTTGATGCTGTCCTTGTCCTCAGCCCTGGAGGATGCCGGGGAGGCTGCACTGCCAGGGTCCGGGGACACATCTTTGGGGGGGGTGGGTGGAAAGCCGAACAGGTGGGGGCTGGAGTGGGAGGAAGACGGACCCCCCGAGGAGCCACCGCCCGGGTACAGGGAGCCGCCGGCCGCGGGGTGCAGTGGGGTCTTGGCGAAGGGGCTGACAGTCCATGGGTTGTGGTGGTGGGCGGCAGACAAGGCAGACTTCCCCCCCTCCAGCCAGGGCAGCCCGGGACTGTGCAGGAGGTGCGGCCGGCACATCTGACTACCGGCTGTCAGGCGAGCTGGGGGAAAACAAGAGACAATCATTAAACGGAAAAACATGGGGGGGGGGAGGGTAATAGTGGATACAATGTTATAACAGCCAAACATAGGGGGGTAATAGTGAATACAATGTTATAATATAACCGCACTATAGCATTCATTACTCGATACAATGTGTTATAATACTGGATACAATGTTATAATAGCACTGTATGTAATAATATAATATTACTGTATGCGATAATATAATAAAATATCATCAGATAAACAGAAAGACAGACTGAATATTAATTGATACAATGGTTTTCTGTATCACTAATAACATAGCAGCAATAGAAAATGAACTTTATTATTATACTGAATAAGATATTTTATTATCACTGCCCTGGAGGGTAGAGGGATATATATATCGCACATGGTGAAATTAGGACTACGCTAACTACAATGCTATATCGCAGAATAAGTCTATCTAGCTCACATTTTAACTGATACATCATTGTATCATCACTGGATAGAATATTTCACCGTACTTCTACAGAGATTTGCACTGGATATGAGAATATAACATTGGTGAAGGGATAATATACAGTATATAAGTATAATTACACTTGACATGTTATTATATTATATAACCGGTTATCATAACACACTATATGTACAGTAAATGTAAATATTACATTCGGACACAGTAACCAGTAAGTCCAGTGTATTTATACCTGCACATAGTTATATATGGATATATCCAGAGATTATCACTCTAGAAGGTTAATACTCTCGATGTATACAGTTTCACTATCTACATATAATTATATATCGCTAACATTCTCTTCTACACACCAGTAATTTCACAATACGGAATTTTTAGTGTAGCACGTAATATATATATTACATCAATGTCTATACTCTTATATTGTATAATGTGATATGTGATATTTTCCATAAACTCCCACATAATTTCACTGAATTAATATATTTTTTTCCCTAACTTAATTATCTACCCTAATAGATCGATATGAGCAACGTTCTCGATACACAAAGAATTATGTTGGATTTAATACTATATGCTGAAATATGGAGAACATATTATATAGAAAATCAAATAACAGTTATAACATGATATAATATAATGACTGTAATAACTTCTGCCACTCTATGCACATTCTCTATACCTATTTGTAGATAAAGACAGTATTTTTAAACTGAAATATTATGTTGAAGTATATATTTTTTAATATATACATTCTTATCCTATAGAGAACGAGTTTACCCTTGCATAGTTGAAGAATATATAGTCTATCCGCCCTGATATAGATCATAGATGTGTTGCAAATATATGATGTATTTTGATAAATATTTCGCAAATTTAGGATTGAGAGAGATTTATTCGGAAGGCATACCGATTTTATAAGATCAATTACTCTCAACAAAGTTTGGATCACTGTTAAAATGTCTGGGGCCCTGACTGCTGGTATCTTCTATCAAGCGTTGCTATAGGATTAATTAATTCATTTAGATATTGGGATTATGTTGATACAGGTATAGAATTTCAGATCTTTGTTTTATAATATATTGCGTTATGTTAACCTAACTAAATATACTCTGTGCAATAAACACAACAAGCAGTAAATAAAGACAAGAGTCGAAATTGGACGCTAAGAAATCTCAAGAGGACAGATTTTCCTAAACTGACAGCAGGATCAGGTCTATTGTTACAGAGTCAATAGAATTATGATTCTGTCACTTAAAGTTTGGGCTAATTCAGAAACAACAAAATCTAATACACTCCACTTGCAAATAATTTCAAAGATGGGGCAGAGGAATTACGCGTGATATCAGATAGTAAATATCAACCACGCGTAAAACCTTAATTTCTTTTTTTTAGCGATGAAAGAGGAATTAGGAAGGTCAGTCGATGACATGGAAGGAAGTATAGAGAAATACCAAAATTAGGAAATAGAAACCTAAAACTCAGCAAGGATCAGTCAGAAAACTAGGGAAGGGGGCGATCAGACGGAGGAAGGTGGGGGCATCTATGATACAGGTCTCAAGATAAGAAAAGGGGAGACCCCGTGATTAAAGGAGCCCCAGGAGAAGGGGCACTGCCATGAACATGCCAGACAGTAATTTCCTATTACTATTATGTTTACATCTATTTCAGGGGTTCCCCTTTGCACTTTCTTATTTTGGGGGTGGTGAAAGTCTTTTCACTTTCTGCCTGACATTTTAGCATTATTACGTTGATGAGGATATATTGTAATAATATGTTGGAAAGCATTTAAAGTGGACTAGTCAGTTGGGGTCCTGTGGCAGGAGGTTGTAGTAAAAATACATTCTTGATGTGAAGGAGTGAAGGGGGGCCCTTGCCATCCAGCACTTAAAGGGTTAAAGCTCCTGTGACTGTATTAGGCTTGGGGCACAGTGTAATTGCCTCAGAAAGTGTTACACAGATTGGATACAATGACATAATTATATTGCAGTGTATGGCTACCATCTAAACATGCATACATAGTATTGATGATATTTATTCTATTTAATAAAAGGTGGTGGGTGAAGGGAGGTCTTACCGTGAGCTTGGCTGTAGGAAACCCTGGCCCTGGCATGGGCAGAGTTTGTATAGTAAGGGTTCCCTTGAGAGTCCAGATGGTTGAAGAATACATCCACTTCATCAGGAGGCAGGAGCTGGGCTGGCTCCATGTAATTGTGTGCCAGTCCTGGGTGGTGAGAGTCTGGGTGCTGTCCATTGAGTACAGCATGGTGTGCCATCCAGCGAGGCTGGTCTGTAGCCACTTCCATCATCAGAACGTGACTGGTGCCAACCTGTGCCAACTAGAATCCGCCTCCTTGGGCGCTTTGGTTCTGCCTTGTGGAAGGTAACGAAGTCCCTTTAAATCCGGAGTCTTTGTGGGTGACAGCAGCACCTGGAAGCGAGGACAAGTTACAATATTTGTTATTGTTGCTATAACTACCCGACCTACACTGTTTTCCTCGCAGTGCCCCTCTCAGAACAAGACATCAATGGCAAAATGTAAACACAACACAACACCTACATAACAGTAACACGTTAACAATCCTAGTAGGAGTAAACACAACACAACACAACATCTACATAATAGTAACACGTTAATAATCCTATTAGGAGTCCCAAATAGCCAACTCAGACCCTCTCCTTGCCCCCTCTGATCAGCCATTTCACTGGAGCCTTCCATCTGACTGGACGCAGAGAACGATTGGAGTGTTCCATGGATACTTTGTAATAGCAAAGAGTTACTGAAATCAGCCCTGATCGCTCTGACTCAAAGCAACTCCAAGATTCTAATGTGTCATTTAGATTAAAAAATGCCCAGTTCCTTTTGATCAGATGTAAAGGGAGCTAGTAACAAGCTGATCTAATGCTGAACTCAGACAGGAACAGGAGGGGGTGATACAGTGTAGCAGTTGTCAGAAAGTGGGGTACTTACAGGACATCTAGTTACAGGCAGGGTTTGATCAAACTGAGAGATTAAAATAAAATATGTCCCGTGCAGAGTGAGTGAGATTGGGGAGTCAGGGTAGAGGTGCTGGATGAGGAGGGGGGAGTAGAAAATAACCATGGGGTCCCATTGTAATGCAATTATTGGGGTACTTACAGGATATCCAGGGATAGGCAGGCTCGGACAAGCCCTGAGGTGAAGTGGAGTCCTCCTGCAGAGTGAGTGAGAGCAGACAGGGGGCAGGAGGCTGTTACTCAGAAGGGAGTCTCAGAGCAAGGAGCATCCCATAGCAGCCCTGGCGCCAGCTGGCCTCACTTCACTAAACATGGGCTAGAGAGACGCTCACAGCTAATAACACCGGGACAGCCAATCACAGGCCGCCGCCAGCCAGCCCTGCTCTGCCATTGGTCACTCCCCTGAAAATTCACATTCTCTTAATTCAGACCAAGCAGCTCAAATGCCTGGGGAGGAGAGGGGGGGTCATTAGCCAGCCCTGCTAATGGGATACATTTTCATATATAAATATACATTTACATATATCCTGCAAATAATAACTCAATGCTTGCTACATACAAACATGGACAAGTAAGAGTGACCAAGTGATGTTACTTCTTTTTTTTAATGTATTTGTTTTTTTTAATCTGTCGTTAATGTTCAGTATTTATTATAAAATGGAAAGTAAGAATTATTTTATAATATGTAATTTGATTTAAAACATGATTATTAAAAAATAAATAAATCATGGGTGTTAGAATGCTTCTTACAATTCCTGCTAATTTTACAAACTGAAACTAAATAATACTGAATTTTTGGATAGCTCTGTAGGGAATTTAAGGCCACTTTTATGTGCCCTGCTCTGTGATTACAACCTCTCCTGAACTATGATAAGTTTGCCAGGAAAGATGAATGCTCACTATTTAATAATAACTGTGACTTGTACATTAGAAGGGTGTCAGGCAGATTATAATCCTTCTGTAGAACACATCATCTTAAAAGTCAAATGTTTGTATTTCTTTGAAAAGGGGGTATATTTTATCTTATATGTACAGTGTGCCTGATAATCAGAGGGAATGTGCAAAATTATAAAAAAAAACTCTATTTTCGTCATTCAACGTACTTTTAATGTACTGGTATTTAATATAATTTCCTTGATGGTTTTAAAATAGTAAATGTATCATTATTGTTGATAATAATAATAATAATAATAATAATAATAATAATAATAATAATAAATGTAGTACACAGCAATGAGGGAGTAATCAGTATTGAATGTAAAATGATCTAATCAGTTTCAGGGTTTGAAACTCTGCAAGTTTAGAATTCTTACACGTCATCAAATTCTTTTCAATTGGAAAGTTAATTTTGCCATCTTTATTGGGGGGGTGCAGATAGGGGGGAGTTTAACATCCATTTGCGAAATCCTAGGATTTTTAGATTTTTAGAGAATAATTAAGAGGCGTAAAATATTATGTAAAACTGATCAAATTTAGAAAAATAAATCCTAGAGAGTTGCAAATAAATCCTTATCACCGAATCCTGCAACTTTAAACAGACTACTAAGAGTAATTAAGATAAACATTGTTACTTAACCTATTCATTCCCAACCCTTTAGTTAGCCATTTCTGTCCATTAAAGGTGAAATTGTTTATTATTGCCCATCGTTTATATAATCTGGCGAAGATCAGAAAGGTGTGTGTGTGGGGGGGTCATTTGGAACCATGGGGGTTCTGCTCACTGGACAGGACTGGGCTGTTTATTTAATGCGTTTGTTTGTGTTTGTTTGTTTTTTCTATTGTTTTTCTTATTTTTAACATAAGTTGATTCTGTCTGGGGGGGATTTAAAGGGCTGAAAGTTAGTAATTAGGTAACAGAAAGCCGGCGTTTGATGCTGTCTATCTCGTTTGCTCTCCAGCCATCTAGACGCCGGGACTCTGACGTCACTCTCAGCGCCCAAATTCACAGGGAAACTAACCCTCTACCCCCTCTCTCTCTCTGTCTCTCTCTCTCACCCCCTCTCTCTTTCAGACCCCCCTCTCTCTCTTTCACCTCCTCACTCTTTCAGACCCTCTCTCTCTTACATCCGTCTCTCTTTGTCCCCCTCTCTCTTTCAGACACCCTCCCTCTTACATCTGTCTCTCTTTGCCCCCCTCTCTCTTTCAGACCCTTTCTCTCTCATCTATTTCAGAGCCCCTCTCTCTATTTAACCCATTCTCTCTCTCTCTCTCAGCTCCCCGTCTCTCTATTTCAGTCCCTCTATTTCTCTCTCGCTTTCTCTTCCAGCCTCTCTGTCTCTCAGCCCACCCCCTCTCTTTCAATCCCACTCGTTCAGCCTCTATTTTTCTCTCGTTTCTTTGAAAAATCTTTATCACTCTGTGGCTAAATCAGGAAATAGATCCAGTGCCCTTAGAACCCCTAAACTTAATACAGCATCGATAGAGGAATGAAACTAAAAGAGGGCTCAGATTGGAGAGTACTACAAAGAGCTATGAAATCATATACTAAGTATACAATTCTATACAATACTATAGTGATCCTATAAGGAAGATATAGTGTATCCAGACACAATTGGCACCTCTGGATCATAAGTAAGATGGCACTGCTGACGTGATTTCAGAGGGGTAGGGCTGTATCAATTTTGGTTAAACCTGCTATAAATACAAAGCTATCTCGGTAGGAAATTCACAGATGAGAAAGAGTTAAACGGACCTGCAGAATTGCCTTGGTATCACCACCAGCATCACCAGAACCAGGCAATCATTTACAGTAATCTATTAACCCATTCAGTGCTGGTGTGCCCAGATCACAAACTGTCTCAGATAATTTCAATCCTTTCTTAACCCCTTAATGACAATATGCTCTCCAGGGATGTTGGGCCGTAGTATGGTGTTTTTTTATTATTATTATTATTATTATTATTGGCATTTATATAGCGCCAACAAATTCAGTAGCGCTTTACAATATTACATATTAACTTGCTTTCATGAAGGGGTTAACATGTATTCACATCAAATGACTATGAGCCAAGCAGGAACTGGTTAAATTAGAAGTAGCATAATATTGACTTCTGCCTACAGATGATTTAAGAACAGCACCAACTAAGACCAGAGGGAACAGACCAGAGGGAACAAATCTCATGACAGCCTAGAGACCCCCAGTACCTTAGTGAGATAAGCACAGCGAGTCAGCCTCAACCTGGGAGAAATTGAAGTGCAGACAAATTCTCCGGCACAGAAAGGGTTAATAGACCAAATAGCCAATCTTACTCAGGAGAAACTGTAACTGCAGATAGAGGTTCCAGCACAGGAGGGGTTAACAGCACAGCGCTCAAGCATCATGCTGGAGGAAATGTAAGTGCAGACAAAAGGTTTCAGTACAGGAAAGGGTTAACAGTACAAAGGGCAGCCTCATAGAGGAGGAAATATGAGTACAGACAAGAGAATCCGGTGCAGGAAGGGTTAACAGGCCAGCCTCTGCTGGAGGAAATGTAAGAGCAGACAGAGGATCAGTGTTGGGGAGAGGGAGCTGCGGACAGGGCTCTGTCTGTCCTGGGGTAAGGAGCAACTGAACCTAACTTTATTTTCTTTATAAATATATGTCAGGTTTTATAGTGTTCTCCTGGTCTGATTGTTGAGTTCTCATTTAGGGAGGCAAAGGCCAGCAAACACACTATGGAACAGACAAATAGATCATGGGATCTGTGTAGTTCAGAGCTCAGAGTATGGAATAATGGACTAAATCAGCATGCAATAAGTGGGAATCCCTGTAATATGGGGGATCATTATAATATGGGGGATCCCTGTAATATGGGAGAGATCATTATAATATGGGGGATCCCTGTAATATGGGAGAGATCATTATAATATGGGTGATCCCTGTAATATGGTAGAGATCATTATAATATGGGGGATCCCTGTAATATGGGAGAGATCATTATAATATGAGGGATTCCTGAAATATGGGGGAGATAATTATACCATAGGAGATCCCTGCATTATGGGGGAGACCATTATTATAGGTGGGGATCCCTGTAAGATGGGAGAGATAATTTTAATATAGGGGGGTCATTATAACATGGGGGATCTTTGTAATATGGGGGAGATCATTATATTATGGGGGATTATTATAAAATGGGGGATCATTATATTATGGAGGGTCTCTGTAATATGGGGGAGATCGTTAAATATTGGGGGTATCTCTGTAATATGGAGGAGGTCATTATAAAATGGGGATCCCTGTAATATGGGGAAGATTATTATAATATGGGGGAGATCCTTATAATATGAGGGATCCCTGTAATATGGGGGAGATCATTATAATATGGGAGATCCCTGTAATATGGGGGAGATCATTATAATATGGGGGATCCCTGTAATATGGGGGAGATCATTATAATATGGGGGATCCCTGTAATATGGGGGAGATCATTATAATATGGGGGATCCTTGTAATATGGGGGAGATAATTATAATATGGGGGATCCCTGTAACATGGTGGAGATCGTTATAATATGGTGGTTTTCCTTAAAACGGGGAAACTGAAGATTTTGAGGAGATCCCAGCAATAAGGAGGGAGGAGATTACTGAATTGGATGATGACCTCTGTATTATGAGAAGGGGATCATTAAATGTTAATGAATTTGTAAATGATGGAGACCACGGCACCACGAGGGGATGGATACAATATGGAGGGGTCTCTGAAAAATGGAGGGGGCTGTGAAATGGGGGATCCCTAAAAAAATGTGAAGGCGATCACTTCTGCAATATGGAAACCATATGAAATAAAAGGATCTGAGTGGCAGTTAATGGATGGGAAGAAACTGTATGAGATGATCTGACCCTTCTCCAGTGACATTAAATGCTGTATTATTTTTTTAAAATGGCAAGGGCAGCGAGATCTCTGCTGAGAGAGAACAACATTAAAGAAATCTGGTAAGTAACCATATCCTTGGTTCAATAGCCACGCTTATAGTGTTGGGGGGAGACAGGGGGCTGTCCCTCGCAGTGGGTGTAGCTAGCTATGTGTCCCAGGCTAGAGGGGACAAGTAACAGGATAGAGACAGCCAGGAGGAGAGGTCACAAGGCTTCCCTCACAATAGGAAAAGGTGCTGCCCCTAATATAGAGCCTAGTATAGCATACCGGATATGTGTGCTCTGCTCTCTACTGAGTTCTATCTGAACGAGCTACGGATACACAGTAGAACAAACAGTTCTGGGGCAACGTTCTACACATGGAGTTTTCAGCAGGAACGTTCCACTGGTTTCCATGGTTACTGCAAGACTTTTAGAACTTTGCCCCAGAATTGTCCTATATGCATTTCATCATATGCGTCCATTAGCTTAACAGTACCCATTCCCTGTTTCGCAATTATAATACGCACAATCTCTAGAAACATTTTTTGAGATATAGTTATATCCATGCCAAGCAATGGTTAAACTATATTTCATTGCACATAGATGGGGATTAAATATGTTTTCTCATATAAAATATAGATGACCGAAATTATGCAAAATAAAACCCAATATTGAACATTTTCACATTTTCTTTCCTGTATCGATTTCCAAGTCTACAGCAAGGTATTAAATCCCAAAATGGAATGTATTTTACGGAGACTCTACATTACTGTCTGGCCATCTCCCAAGCATCTTAATGTAGCGACCTCTTTCATATACAGAACATGGTTTGAGAGTCAGATTTTATTGCAGCGATGTTTAGTGACCCCCTTTCTGACTGTGGGGGAGGTTGTACCCCCATATTTTCACTGCATAGATTCTCACTACACCAAACACCGTGCTGGCTAACTATTGCCTGGCTTAGGGTAATAGGTGTTAGAATCCCTTCTCAGCTGGATTGACATTGGGTAATGTCCCAGGACAACTACATATGTCACTCCTGGGGAACTAAATCTTCTCAGGGATTTCATTAAGGGAACTTTTTAATGAACAAATTATAGCGATTCGTAGATTCTTGCTTAGTTTAAGTTCGAGGTTCCATAAACAATCGCTAGTTCTATTTTTGTGTTTTATACAATAAACTGTTTACGTTATTTCATAATGTTATAGTCTTTGTTGCTTTTATTTTTTATTTTGTTTGTGTCAGTATATATTTAAAATCTGAAAACGATTCAAGCATCCAGAAAATAGATGGATTGATTAACTCTCTGTATATCGTGTCTGTTTCAAAATAAGTATTCTGATATGCTTCATAAAATGCCTCTATAAGAATGCAGAATGAAATAAATCGCTAGAAGTTATGTTACTAAACTGGGGAAAGCTGATTACATACATTTATCAAAACGTTGTTACTAAAGTATAAACATAGATTGATCACCTTGTCCTAAAATAGTCACAAAATCCACTGTTATTTATAATCGGAAATCGGAACGTGTTGCACAGACTGATATAAGGACCCAAGAGTTGTTCTAAATTAAATATACAATTGTGTTCAGTCTATCAGGAAGCTTGATGACTCCGTAACGTGCTCTACATTTGTATCAGTAAAATGAGTTCCCCTCATTATATCTTCTTACCGTTAAAATTTTTTTAAAGCAGTTATTTTGTGATTTTAGTTTTTATATATATATATATATATATAATGTTTCTAAAAGTGCATGTCTAACGCTTTTGCGGTTTAACTAAATATTTGTACCAATTTAATGCCCCTTAAACCACTTTCAAAGCCAGACAGCTGAGCGATAAGTGGTGTTTGGTAAAACTGTTTAGATAGAAGTTAAAACCGTTTTATTTCGAACATTCTGTTCCAGGCCTGTTAACTGGAAACATTCCATTTATTCACCCAGAAATCCGATTTTTCTGTATTAATTATCCTTCATGTCAATGGGGTTATTTAACATTACCATTGCCAGTTGGAGACCCTGTATTGTGCCTTCACCTGGCATATTATAAGCAGCAGAAACACGAGCAACAGATTTAATTAATTCACTCAACGGGACATGAAATCTCGCACACGACCTTCTGCAAGAGCTTAGAGAGTCTCAGGAGCTGCATACTGAATCCACACGGCTGGTTTAACAACGATTCTACCCATTAGCAGGGCTTTCCTCTGGAGAGGGCAGCACTCACAGTGCCCTGTAGGCACATAGACCACAAACAAAGCATTCTGCTGCACACACAAACTGTATCACCTGTGTGTAAACAAGGAGCAAAACTATACAGAACTGTATTCAAACAATGCATTAAACCAATAAATGCACATTATATAAATTGTGTATTAAATGGCATCTCAAAACACACACACACACACACACACACACACACACACACACACACACACACACACATTTTTACAAACTGTGTAAAAAATATAGATTGTATCATTGTATTGACTGATCAAACAATATCAGCACATTCTATGGACTTTGTATCAGAGGTATCAAACATTTATATTATCAGCTGTGCATAAACAGGGTATGTTACGATGTTACACTTTGTATATAATAATCAGGACATCTCACAATAAATACATATTGTGTCAACTGTATAGGGACCGGCAAGTCGCAATATTTACACATTGTTTCAATTGTATGTAAACAGAGCTTTTCACAATAAATACATATTGTGTCAACTGTATATTATCAGGGTATGTCCCGATATATAAACATTGTATCATTCAACAAGGCATGTCATAAAAGGCATGCATCAATGGTGTATTAACAGGGACTGTCACGACAGACATTGTATTAATTGTTCATAAACAGAGCATCTCACAAAAGATACACTGTTTATTAACAGGGCATATCTCGATATAGCCATAATAAAAACTGTATCGAGTTATGCAAAAGGGAGTCATGCAATATATACTCTTTATATCAAATGTGTATGAATCAATAAACAGTGGATCTTACAATATATATATATATTTATTTATTTGTATTTATTATATATGTGTGTGTGTGTGTGTGTGTGTGTACGCATTAAATGAGCTGTGTGAACAAGGGATTTGATAACATACATATTATATAAACTGTGTACACATCCATAAACAAACGGGATCTCCCATTATACACATTATATCTACTGTGTATCATAGAATAAATAAACAGAGAATCCCACTGTGTATACATATTATATCAACTGTGTATCACACACTAAACATGGAAATTATGCATAGTGTAAGAATTAGGGCAAATCCTGCATGAATACATATACAGTGTACCAAGCATTATTATACACGTATAGACGGTATATGAATTGTATTGATAAGTGAATAACTACACCATCACACTATCTTGCAACTTTCTATAAAATAACTGCATCAAATGTCCATATATACTGGTTATTATTATTTGTTAATATATCCTAATTTGGACTTTTTTGTGTGTACAAATCTCTTTATACGTGTATATGTTTTATATATCGTCAGCTGGTGCTATAGAGAATATTTGAAGGCTGATTAAGGTTAAACTGTTTGTTCTGATACATTTACATCGATGCCCTTTGACAAAACGAAACAAGATATAATTTATCAACAATCGTCACAAAAGACTCAAGAGGATGAGCTATATATACTGGAAAATCACACTGAATAGTTCATTGTAACAGGTACCCACCATTAATTTGGAATAAATATTTTTCATAAAAGAGAGGCGAATATTTTGCCACTTTCAACAGACAATACAAAGAAAAATACCACAAGCTACATCACAGCCGTAACAAAATCCAGATCTTTACAGACCAGAACATAAAGTAATTTTCTCTTATATTCCAATAATCATCTTTAAAAAACAAAACAAAAACAGTGTGACTTAAAATACTTGAAATATTGGTAAATAGAATACAATTTCTGGTATGATATATTTATATTTATTCTTCTGCTTTCATCCGCTACAAGAATGAAATCTGATGCAATCTATATTCTTGCTGTGTTGAATCCCTGAGAAATAATATCAATACTGTACTTTTGACGCAGTCGCGGTGCAATTGCGTCAGTTTGCGCAGAGCTCTGCACTGCAGCAGCAATCGCTGCGAATTTTTACTTTTATTTCAGCACATGCAGAATTGTATTTAAAACGTTCACTCGGCCTGAGAAAGCCCCTTGGGTAACATAAGGCTTTCCTCTCTCTGCTTCTGTATCCTATGTGCCCCTAATTGGTTTACAGCAGTAATCACAGGTCTGGAGAAAGCCAAAAACATAGAATGATCTCCTAGAGGTGTCATTCTGGAAAAGACTGCATTGTCACAGCTACACAAACACAGCTTTGGCAGTCAAGGCCAAGTGGAAATGAGAAGTCATTTTTCCATATGTACAGTGTGATGGTGTTCAGAGGGTGCAAGGAAATACTTACTGGATTGGAGACCCCCCCAAGGAGAGACAGAAGAATGGATGCTGGAGGAGGATGTGGGGGTATCAGCAGAGAATGCCCCTTAATTCCTGCAGAGAGAGAGGTACCTCGCAGTCAGCCTGCAGGAAGCTGGACTTAAAGCTGCTGAGCAGCACAGGTATAGAAATACAGGCACGTAGGGCTGGCGTCAGAGCTGGACCCACACTGGCTTCCGGGTCCCTCCTGCTACTACAACTACCATTACTATCAGCAGGTGCAATCACAAGCAGGATAGGGGGCACCCGCAACGTGTGCACCCCCAGGCGTGGACAGGCTTAAATGCACTCAATAAAGCATCATATTTTACATTGTGCATACATTGCAGCAAACACATGTAATTAATTAATTAAATAAATTATATATATATATATATATATATATATATATATATATATATATATATATATACACACACACACACACACACACACACACACAATTAAAGCAATGTAATAATTTTGATAGTATTTAAGAATTCAGATTCTAAATACACTTAAAACCCAGTAACTATCACTGACATTTCAACGCATAATCCTAGTTTCACATTAAGCCATCATCGCTGCACCTCTATTGAATGCAATGCTTGAAATATATATTGTACACTAGAAGTGCATGTTAATGGGTCTGAATGGAATGAAACTATTACTGTTCACTCTTAGCCACAGGGTCTGGGATGAAGGACATAAAGTAAAATGCTGATGGTATGGCAGGTGAATAGCACTGGGCTCTGCTTGTTATAGAGGATCTGTTTTCTGCGTGTGACAACTTGCAATTTGCCTGCAATTTGTCATTCACAATAATTTAACATTGCACACACACTAACAGCACAAAACCCTGTGTTTGCTACTGTATTTAAAATATACATTTCAATACCTTACTATAATCACCCTATATCACATACAGACAGCCAGCGAAGAGGCTGGCTGAGGGTCATGGGGAATATAGTTCATACAACTCTGCTGTGTCAAGAACTGTCACTATTGCCTCAAAGTCACCAGGGAACAACTTAAACACGAGAAGAAGAAGAATGTGGAACTTTTAAATGTAAAATCTAAACTAAGATATAGACTTGTTGTGACACAATTAAATGTGAGTTTATTTATACAGACAGGCAGCAAATTATGGGATGTCCAATCTACCATTTAAGAAACTCATTCTCAGTTGCTGCAGTGTTTTAATATTAATCAAATCCAACCATTTATCTTATTTTTTTTTTTTTACAAGAAGTATACAAAAATCCATGTTTATATATATATATATAAACATATTTTTTTTAATTAAGAGGAATATATATATTCGTCTTACTTAAATCCAGTTTCTCATGCACGTGTTTGCATTTTTAAGTCGCCACGAGAATATAAGACCGTGGAGTTTCCTGCAGATCTTAAGGCGTGTTTCTCTCCTACACACAACACACAAAAAGAGGAATTTATCATGCAAAGCTGGGCAAATCTTCTGCACGGGACCAGGGGCACAGATCCCTCCCTACCAGGCAGGTGCTAGGCACAGTTCATTTACATCACTCTTCCTTGTCTTGTCTGCAAAGCCCACTTAATTCTAAAAATCTGGAATATGTCAGATACACTAAAATCCTTTAGGGCTGAACACTGGAGAATTGTTAAGTAAATAAATAATTAGAATACAATTTGCATTGTCGAAATGGACCCAGTCCTTTTTTTTTTTTTTTTTTTAATACCATACAATATATTCCCATTTCACTTATGCAGAGAAACATTTTGAGAAATCTTACAGCAAGGCTATGCGTAAACACAGACAAAACAGTATACACGACATAAAAGAAGAATTTTTATTATTGAATTTAATTTATAATTCTTTTATTTATTATATTTATTAAAAAAAATATTAATAGTGACATTTAATTGTCTTCTCTGAACTGTTTTTATTCCCTACAAATACGATTTTTCTAAAATGTACCGTTGTTCTAATTTTTGCTGTACTGCATCTTAAATTTTAGGATATTATCTTCAGCAAAAAACATATTACCACTGTTATATTCACATCAATGGACTGTCATTAATATCGCTTGTTTTTATTACATGTTTATTAAAGTTATGTCAGATTATTTTAAAATCATTGCAAGGATCCTTTAAGTTCATTTGATGTCTTTTGTTATTTTCCTTTTAAAATAATGATGACATTTTTTTTAAAATGTTTTATTTGTTTAATGTTTTTATAACAGTATACCGTGTAACTCTATCAATTGTATGTAAATATAAAAGTCTATCAGAATTTTTTTCCTACCAATAAATATTACAATCTATGAATGGGAAAAAAAAATAATTATTGTTTTATACTAAATTAAATTACAAAGGAAAAAATACACACAAAAAAAAAAAAGAAGTGGAAAAAAAACCAGACGTCATTTTCTATCGGAGTAATCGTTATATGTACATTTTTTTGTGTTTTACATATGATTTAATAAATAATTATACTTTTTTTTTTAAGGAAAAACGTATTGTTTATAAATTATAACTGATTCTTGTTAATTTATATTATATTTCAAATAAATAATTCGCATTTACAATATACTATTGTCTTACTTAGAATCGATGCTGAATTAGGTTAAATGAGAGGTTTAAGTTTATAATTATTTGCAATCACACCAACTTAAATCTAACAACAACAAAAAAGATTACACGTACATATACACTACTCAAATACCTATTTCATAATGTATACATGAAAATGATTTGACACTCGTTCAGGCATCTCTAACAATGTGTCAGGGATCTTATGTCTGTTCCTGTCACCTTCAATTTGAAAGGTACAAAATATCCCAGTCCCAGTGGAAAGGCAACTCTGTAACCAAAGCCTCAATGGGAGTCTACAGCCTTCTCCTTAAATACCAGTGTTACAAAGCACGCTTCCATCACATCATATAGCTGAATGCACATCCCCTTGGTATACAGACAACCTCTAACAAGCGATTTGAAAATTGGGTTACATCTTATATTTAACAATGTTAGCAAATAAACCTTAATAGGAAAAATAGACTCAATGCTCATCATCATTGCCTGAAGTACAAATGGGGCTATTTAAACCAGTGTCCCTATTTTATTCATCTTCATTTTACATTTACCTAGATTGGGTTTGATGTTTAAATTCTGCTGGTAGAATTGAGCAAAGCAAGGAATGAATGAATGAATGGCAGCTGCCATCAGCTGTATAAACGCTTGAATAATACCTAGGCATGGAAAGCTACTTCCAGGAAAAGGATGGACAAAGGCTATCTTGCACAGGTGTTCATGGCTAATTGTTGTATCTTACCTTATATTGGTGTTCCTGATTCGTCCTTAATTGTCTAAAATCACCCCCTTTTTCTCTCTCCTTGAAGTGAGGTGTCACCCTCAGCACTCTCCCCTGGCCCTCCAGCAGGCAGGGGTGCAGAGAAGAGAGGGCAGAGTGTGCCCACACAGAGGGTATGCCAGGCTGTCTCTGTAATCTGGCAGCAATGTGCAGTGTGTGTGCCTGAGACTCCTGCATTTAGGGCTGGCACCGGGAAGCCTGTGTGTATTTATGTACATAATAATAACTCGCTCGGCCCCTCACCCTCATTGTATGGTTACAATGGCCATACAAGATCATCTTATTGTCTGCCCATTGCCCCTTTTGTTACTGCTTGCTGTCATAGTCTACGCGACTTGACTTTGATATTTTGGGTGGAAAGAGTCTATAGCAGCCAGGAGAGCAAAGGAAGGAGGGTCTGGAGGGGTACCAGCCCAGCGCAGGCGCAGCTCAATGTATCCACTACACCTGTTATGCACACCTGTCTGTCTGTCTGTCTGTCATACAGAGCTGGGATTATGTATACTTTATAATTCCGGGGCCAAGTTCTACAAGTGGAGCAGTTACCATGGAAACCCATTGAATCACCCTGCTGATTGATACATTATTAGACCATTGCATCATTATGGTTCTTTTAATTCTTTTAACATAAATAAAACACACACACACACTCTGTTTAATACACCAGGCATATAAATATATAATTGTAACAGTGATAACTACACGTTTATTTGCTCAATGATAAATGTATTTAATTTGAGTGCCTGCTTTAAGGAACATTTGCTTTTCCATTGAAAGAAAATTGATGAATACAACAGCAAATAAAATCAAGTCAATGAAAAGCCAGCTATCAGCAGAGACATTGTTGGACATAAAGAAATCTCCAAATGTTTAAGTCCTATTAAGGAAGTCAGCCATAACTAATGTATGAGTAAATGGTGTAGAGGGGGCTTTCATAAGGTGAAACAGAAAGGGAAGAGAGTTTAAAAGGCAGAAAGGAACTTGGGTGTTATACAGGTTAAACTAAGCTCAAAGATCCTAACACGGTTTGTAGCATGTGTTCGATAGTCATGCAAATATGGGTTTAGTACTTGAAAACACTATTATTAATATATGAGACTTACACAATTAAAAATGCCAAAATGCTATCTTTTTCTCCTCTCACAAGCATCATTTAAATAAAAAAAAAACCGTTCTGCAAAAGGAAAAAGAAAAATCAATTCAAAACCCAGGCTAGAAGAGAGAGAAAGAAAAAAAAAAAAAAGTTTAATAGGAAAAAAAATTACCATAATAATGGGGGTGAAAATGTTAGCAAGTGCAAAATAAAAAAAATAAAAAAAATCCTATTTTACTGGCATTTCTCTGTCTGGCTTTGTGATGTGGTTCAGGGGAGAAATCTCTTGATATGCTGTAGATAATTCTTATCAGCAAAATGCAGCCCATATCCAAAAAACTGTCCTAATTACTCTCCTGAATTATCACACCATCCTAAGAGATGAGATGTTTGAAAAGATGGACATGGGCTGGAAGGGTACATTGTCCAGAATTTACATCCCCAGACTAAATGTTTGCAGAGCCCAGGTACTGTTTGTACAGAGGAAAAATAGCAAAAGATTAAAAGCAATAATTGGGCTGCCCTCGCCTTATAGATTACATGCAATATTTTCTTTGAGAACCCTAAGTAGTGGCACATAATACCCTTTATATTATCAGCCAATTTACACCATCATCAATCATTCCTCCCCTTCTCTTTATTTGCTAATAAAATATCTAATTAAGGGATCAACAAGGTACAATTCCCTGAATATCACTTTGTTTAAAAATAAATTTAATTTATCTGAGCAGAAATTTTTTTATAATAATAATAATAATAATAAAACAATCTATTTTCCACTTGATCACTCTTAATCTACTATTTCTGTATATTAAAGATGATGTAAAAAATGAAATGTATACATATCTTGTTTTGTGTGTATGAATGTAGTAGAATAATGATGCTTTAGTATATTTATTTATTTTCTACAGTAAAGATGTCATCTCTCCAACTATAATAATTTGCTCAGCAATCTAAATCAAGACTGTTTTGCATTTTTTTCCCAAGCAGAATAAGAAAATGAGAGATCATGCCCAGTTATTTTATAATTATTATTTTAGATAGTTTTACCAATTTTAGCCTGATTTAAAATAATAATAATAAAAAATAAAATAAAAAAATAAATAAAAAAAGGGGGGTGGTGGGCGTATAAGAATCAGCAACTCCAATGGTTCCCCTTCTTATTATTGGGATCCTGGGGTAATTTTTCATCTCTGCTAGCTAATCTTTGTTCCTTGTGAAGATAATAAATAGACTAATCGTTATCTCTGAGCTCCTGGAGGCTGTGAGAGAATAGGTTGTGCGAGGTTGGAAATTGGCTGTAAAAGTGTAGCAGAATAAATGTGGTTCCTTATCTCTACCTTGCAGATAATCTGACTCTTTTCAAACTCGCAACAAACACATCCACCCCATCACATGCATCATTTAACTGAGCAGATCTCAGCGTTTGATGGGCATATAGACAAAATCTATAGATTTTCCCTTTTTCCCCTAAGCGCACATGCATTGGCTTTGTGGAAATAATATATGGCACTCCGGATAAATTATACAGGGTTATTGGAAAAAAAACAAGAAAAACCTAGGATAAATGCAAGAGGGCTTTTACATCTAATATACAAATATATACATATTTACAGCTAATAAATGGTCTTTAATTTGTTCTCAAGGTTTTGCAGTACAGTTATTTATTTCTCTGTTCAGTGGTCCTTATACCATATAACATAAACACACACACACACACACACACACACACTTACAATATATTATATACATGTATATCTGTGTGAGTGTATGTGTGTATACAGACATTTGTAGTTAGTCTGTCTATCTATCTATCTATCTATCTATCTATCTATCTATCTATCTATATGATATGATTTGGGATGTGCCAGGATAAAAAGATGCTGATAATATTTATATTATTAAGAAGGAGCTCCTACATTGCTCATAAGATTGCCTATAAGCTCTATATTTAATTATCACACAAACAAAATATCATAGCCCTTAACATCCATTCAGTTTACAGAGGATTAGCACAGCTAATTAAATGGTGAATGTGAACTGATTAATCACCAGAAGTGCACCTTTTCATGTCGAGCAGATAGTGAACCTGGTAGTATGGGGTTGCTAGTATGGGGCTGCTGAGGTTTGGATACAGAGTGTAAACCCTATGGCATCTTCAACAGGTGAGACCTTTCCTTGGGATAGATAGGTTTGCAATGACAGGTATTATTGTGTATCTCTACACATATACATTCATTATGCAAAATCACAGTTCTGTGCACTCTGCCATCCAACAACAGGAGCTAGCACTGTATTTAAATATACCAGTTACTATGGTAATAGTGATAATTACCTGTTGCACAGATACTTAAAACACTGGATAATTTCTAATTGGTCACTTGTTGCCACCAGATCTCCATGTGTGCTAGCTCCAGTGAGCCGGGCTCAATGTTTGCCCCCTCTTTTTCTGCCAACTATCTGTGCCTCAGATGTCCTTGTCCCTGTCATACCATGAGCAATTTCTGTGCCCCCTGTTCTCCTTTTAGAAAATCATTCTCCCCCCAATCTATCTCTGTAGTTCCAAAAGTTCTCACTCCCCCCAGCCATTTGTGTCCCCCACTCTGTCTGCTCTATCTGTAGTTCAAGTTTCTCTTTCTCTCCCAATTTTCTGCCCCCAGTTTCCTATTTGCCTCTTTCCACTTCCTAGCTCTCTCACCCAGGTTCCTTTATGTCCTTTCCCTGTCCCCTATCCCTATTTCCACTTCCTAGCTCTCTCACACAGGTTCCTTTATGTCCTTTCCCTGTCCCCTATCCCTCTTTGCACTTCCTAGTTCTCTCACCCAGGTTCCTTTATGTCCTTTCCCTGTCCCCTATCCCTCTTTCCACTTCCTAGCTCTCTCACCCAGGTTCCTTTATGTCCTTTCCCTGTCCCCTATCCCTCTTTGCACTTCCTAGTTCTCTCACCCAGGTTCCTTTATGTCCTTTCCCTGTCCCCTATCCCTCTTTCCACTTCCTAGCTCTCTCACCCAGGTTCCTTTATGTCCTTTCCCTTTCCCCTATCCCTCTTTGCACTTCCTAGCTCTCTCACCCAGGTTCCTTTATGTCCTTTCCCGTCCCCTATCCCTCTTTGCACTTCCTAGTTCTCTCACCCAGGTTCCTTTATGTCCTTTCCCTGTCCCCTATCCCTCTTTCCACTTCCTAGCTCTCTCACCCAGGTTCCTTTATGTCATTTCCCTGTCCCCTATACCTCTTTGCACTTCCTAGCTCTCTCACCCAGGTTCCTTTATGTCCTTTCCCTGTCCCCTATCCCTCTTTCCACTTCCTAGCTCTCTCACCCAGGTTCCTTTATGTCCTTTCCTTGTCCCCTATCCTTCTTTCCACTTCCTAGCTCTCTCACCCAGGTTCCTTTATGTCCTTTCCCTTTCCCCTATCCCTCTTTGCACTTCCTAGCTCTCTCACCCAGGTCCCTTAATGACATTTCCCGTCCCCTATCCCTCTTTGCACTTCCTAGCTCTCTCACCCGGGTCCCTTAATGTTCTTTCTCTGTCCCCTGAATCTCCCCTCCATCTCCTCTTTCTGTTTCCCTTGCCTCTTTCTCCCATTTAACTTAGTACAGTTAGTGTAATACAGGCTTATTGTAGCTTGGAAGGTTTGAAAAATCTGAGATCATTTAGTAAATCAAAAGTAATGGTGAGTTGATAACAGTTTTGCAACATGTAGCCCAGAATTCTGAAATAAATCTCCATTTGGGTCAACCTGATATTTTGATGTTTTAGCCAGAATTTCCCAAACCAGTTAAGTCAGCACCATGCACTGCTTAGTGAATAAGGCTCTTTGTGCAAGTGATAAAAATGAATGTGATGACATTACATCACCAATATCTGCCTAGTAGTAACACAACCGAGGGTCAGTATCAGGGGCA